ACACTTCAACCGGAGTTCATGTAAGGAAGATAACTGGTCCACAACCACATGAACCGTATTTAATGGAAGTCGTGAAGCCGTGAAGCAAATCACATACAATACTCACCGTCTAAACTATCCAAAGAATTTTTATATCTCTGACCACCGCTGTAATCCTTTCGCTCTACATCGTATATAACTGGCATGCCATCTCCTTCACGTTTCTTTTCGAAAAGGTATCGATACCTAAATGATGCCAATGAGAACAATGGACAAAAAAGCGGAATCCACTTTTTATCCCAAAAACAAAAATATCTACAAAATTAAAAATTTTGCCTTCCTGCAGAACAAAAGGCAAATATAATCGAGAAGAAAAGCTCCAAAAAAGATTATCAAGGATGGTTGAAAAAAATAATGCATGAAAAATTTGCATATCGTGATTTGTACGCATTGCAATCGGGCCTATGAAATAACAAAGTACTAATTAAACTCCCAAAAAGTTCAGGTCCGTCGTAAAAAAGTGCATTAATGTGTTGCTCAGAACTTAAAAAAATTAATTGTGAAAGAAACTTTCCCGCCCCGAATAATCGGATTTTACTTTTTTTTTACTTTCGCCTGCTATTTTCATGCATCGGCATTTAGCCTTCCTTCAAACCACAACAACAAAGCTGTGAATACTAGGCCAAAGCTGTTGTCGATGAAAACGGAAGATGAAGCTCAAAATAGACGTGGGAGCGAGATGTTTACAGAGATTAGCGTCGAAGGCAAGAGGGGAAAAATCCAATGTCACTTCCGCAGAAAAACAACCGATCGCGGGCAGGCAGCCAAGAATAAGAAAAGTTGTGTGCAGTGGTGCGCAGAACAGAGAACAGGACGAAAATGAAGGAAGATCGCAGAAATAAGTATAACCGATAAAATAAAGTCGCAAGGATAATTAAATTTTCTTGAGACAGATTTTTCATCTCTCGTTTCTCACAATATCACCTCACCATATTTCGAGGCAGACCAGTGACTTCACCCAAACAGAACAAAAATTTTAGTAGAGCAGATTATCGGGCAAAATCTTAAAATTGCTAATCAAAATAATTTCAATTTATCTAAATTTACCTCTCATCCACTGGCCCTGGGGTCAGACGGAATCCACTCATAGCTGTTGAAGACAACGTATTGATTTCTTTACCAGTTATCGGTGGTTTCTCCACAAGCATTTTCAATGAGCTGAAATAACACTGATAGGTAAAATACAGGAAATCCGGCAATACTTCAATCTCACTGCAACCAATCGTTTAGAATTAGCATGTGAAACCCTTGGACTTATGAAAACTCAGGAGATTATTTTACAGTCAGGAAAAGGGATGATGGTGATAAAGGGATGAAATGGCGAGAAGGGTAAACTCGGTGTATGGTGAGACGAATAAAGCAAACCAAACTGGAACTGATGCTCAACACCGAAAAGAATAAGCGATACATTCTTTGAGAGTACATAACGGAAGGACCTCTAGAAACGCAGAAAATGAACAACAAGAGCAAATCCCAAAATTAAAATGTAGGTTACTCGGACGTTCCAGCAACAAAGAGCCTTGCTATTGAAAAAGATTGTCCTGATACAGCCTTGGAGACAATGTAAAGTTATGAATTTAACAAGTACAAACAAAGAAAAACTACCTTATGTCTTGAGCCTGAGAAAAATTGAAATTCCCGTAAATCTGAGGTAGAAACGAGTTGAGATCTTCACGCATCTTCTTTGCACAGCAGTACCGACTGTACACAGCACCAAGATCGTATGCGGTTAACAAATCGGAGCTACCAAGCATTGGACTTTTCGCTAAATCAGAAAAGTCCAGTAACAAATCCAAAACTTCAATATTCTGGCCTAAAAATCTGAAGTAACTTACGGGGAAGCTCCGGCTTCAATGTATAGAAGGGTGTTACTGTTACCGCTGTTGCTGCTCCAGTTTTGAAGGAGATTTTGGTCCTGATAAGACTCGTTTTAAAAAGAACTTCTTTCAATTGAATGCCCGAGAAACAAAACGTGCACACTAGTTCACTTACTTCAGAGAAAGCGTTGAAATCGCAGGTGACGACAGAGACGGTAGTGATGATCCCCAAGTTCCATCGCCCATCCCACGTCACCAGAAATGTCTGCAACATGTCTTTGATTATATGAGTGGACAACACCCGAAAGAAGCCTCGTTGAGCATTCCCTGCGGATGGACTTCAGCACGGGCTCAAATTTGCGTGAGACACCATCATCTGAGTTGTGTGGTTCACTGGGACAGAAAGCGACTTTTCTGTTTTTCGAAACGCGAAACTTTATCGCTGCGGAAACTTCAGGTGCACCCATGATCAGCGCGTCTATGGGCGCACGCATAGTCGGTCGTCCGACAGCAACGATCGCAACTGTCTGACTGTCTAACTGCATCTAATCGTCGAATACTCAGGCAAGTCCGACGATCGATACGCATCCAATGCTGTGCGACAGTTACGATCGTTGCTGTCGTCCGACCGACTATGCGTGCGCCCTATCAAGCGACGAAGCGATACATTACAGAATAATTACAACGAGACGGATCCCGTGGTGGCTCGTGGTGGACAACATATAAATGAGGAACAAGGTGAATATCTTATCACCAATACTGCGAATCCTCATGCAAAACATATTTGGGTCTATTCCAGTTAGGGGGCATCATGATGCAGTTTCTCGGTGAACTCGAACATTCCAGCTTTTCACGCATGTCAAGTGACTGCCCTCACCCCCACCCCCTAGACTGGCTACACTCCCCTGGCTCGGAGTTACCCTAGCTTTCTGGAAAAACTGCATCATGATGCCCCTAACTGGAATAGGCCCACATATTTTTTCTTCAGCAGCAAGAATGATGTTTATTATGCAAGGTTCAGAGTCATTACATAACTAAAATGACATCCCAATGAAATTTCTCACAAGAAAAGAAACGGTAACGATAACCGTAGAAACAGTGAATTAAAAAAGTGCACAAGGGTAACAGACACTACAACAACGCGGGGAAGAGCAATTGGTGCAACAGTTCGTGCCTCCAACAATTACCCCAACTTTTGCAGTTGAGAAAGCTTCGGCGGAGCGCGAAAGCAAAGCGAAACGTCACGCACCCGGGACCTTCCCACTAGAAATTTGGGACTGTTGTAGGTCGGCATGCTACCCGTCTCCGGTAGCGCGGCGTTATACGAAAACGGGTCTCATCCAGTAAGGGGGGGGGGCATTGTGATGCAACGTCAAGTGGCTGCCCTCCCCCCACCCCCTAGACTGCTTCACTCCCCCTGGCTCACGGGGTCCCGTACTTCGAGAAACCTGTGCGCCAGGGGGAGTGTAGGCAGTCTAGGGGGGTGGGGGTGAGGGCAGCCACTTGATGCCCCCCTTACTGGATGAGACGCCATAAAACACTCGTATGTCTCACGCTCAGTTCAAATTTAAAACGTTTAGCCAAATGCAACAGCCGTACCAAGAGAAAATGCCGACGTAGCGTCAAGGAAAAATGTGCACCGTATTGCGTAATTTTTATTTGCACTAAACGTCTAACCACTTCCTGCTGATGACTCCGCCTCTTGGATTTTAGTAGCGTATTATCTGCACTCGAAAAAGTATCCACTTGGAAAATGCAGAGAACAAGTGCAACTGTTCGACGTAAAACATAAAAGCCGCTTCAATACAAATTCGAAGATAAAAAAAGCGTGTTCTGTCCGCTTGTATTCTGCGTAAGTTGGCATGTGTTTCCGTCTGCAATCGCACGGAACCTATCTTGACGTCATCGCCATCGATTCGGGCTAACTCACTCCCTCGGCAAGAGCTCCGCGCGAGTTTCCGTTGCCCAGGTCGCGTCTAGTCACTCCTCCTGTTTCTGTGAACTTGTTGGGTTGAGATCCGTCTAAATTAGTTTTGAATTCGTGACTATTGCTTCTCATTCTGCTTCTCTAATGTGTCGAGTTTGTTTATCATTCTTGCGGTGATCTCACCGGGTTTTGATCGCAGAAAACCTAGAGACAGCAACGAGTAAATTTTACTGGACGCTTTGGGTAGGCTTGGTACTTCTTTGAAGTGCTGCACCTTACTAGGCAACTAATTCTCGAAAAACGGGGCTGGCCGAATTTGTAATTCCTACGCTGGTTCTGTTTTGAGGCAAGACATTGGAATTTTAGATACTTATACTGAAGATGTTTTTATGGGGTCTTTTAAAGTTAGGAAGGGTAACGTAGAGAGCGAAGATTGCTCACAAACACGCTGGTTTTCTTCACTCCTGAAACTTACCAGGAAAGGCATTCAGCTCCCCATGGAACTTTGAATCGAGACCCAGATAAATCATAGAGCTTCAAACATTGACTACAAATATGAAAACTAAAACTGCAAAATGAACCTGCTAGGTAAGTTGTGAGCAGTCAAAATTCGCCGAAGGTAAAGCGTTCCATATGAACGTGGTACCGCCCAGGCATTCAAAGTCGCCATGGAGTAGTGGTAGTGCTCTCAAAAGTTGCACTTCAATGGAAAGAGAACGCACGACCTTCCGGCTGGAAAGCGAGAGCACTACCACTACTCCACGGCAACTCTGAAAGCCCGGAAGCTAGCACGGTTCATAGTAATGTTTTACTTCCAGCCAACTTTGACTGCTCACAACTTCCTTGGCAGTTCATTTTGCAGTTTTAGTTTCCATATTTGTAATCAGCGTTTGAAGCTCTATCGATATATCTGGGTCTCAATTCGAAAGTTCCATGGGAAGTTGAATGCCTTTCCTGGTTAATCCTAAACCTCTAACTAGGAGGATATGCTATCCGTGGTTTTAAATGTTGGAGCGCTCTAACACCACCCACGCCTACTGGATATAGACCTTTCCTACTGGACTATGACTACCCTTGTAATCATCCCCGGCTCCCCCACTTTCTTCACGATTTGGGGCGCGGCCGCGGCGAGCGCGGCCGAGTCGATAGTGCCCGCGAACTGTGTGGGTAAATTTGAAAACGCATCACCACCACAGTTCGCGGGCACTATCGACTCGTCCGCGCTCGCCGCGGCCGCGCCCCAAATCGTGAAGAAAGTGGGGGAGCCACGCTCCCCACTTTCTTCACGATTTGGGGCGCGGCCGCGGCGAGCGCGGCCGAGTCGATAGTGCCCGCGAACTGTGTGGGTAAATTTGAAAACGCATCACCACCACAGTTCGCGGGCACTATCGACTCGTCCGCGCTCGCCGCGGCCGCGCCCCAAATCGTGAAGAAAGTGGGGGAGCCAATCACTCTCTTTTCGCAGTTCACTTATCCCCGCTTTGAGATGTAGCCTCCGATTGGAATCCCTTGAACTACCTGATGTGATTAGATGTTAGGATTGGTGTGGGAATGTCATCTTTGTGTGTTTATCCTTCTTGCGATGAGCTCAAAAGGTTTCGATCAGAAGGCTAATAGCAAAATCATTTACTGAGTCGTTTCGGCTATTGCTCGGATGTCTTAGAGTTTTTACGATCTTGACTATGACATAAAACGTTGAAATTTTACTCGTATTTTCCTGTTTAAGCGCAAGACATTGGAATGTACTGAGGGATTTCATGACCTGTGAATTACTTTCGCATATAGAATCGCTCGTTTTATGAGTTGTTCTCTGTCTCACTTCGAGATTCAGTTTTCGATTGGAATCCCTTGAAGCACCTGATGTGATTAGATAAGGATTTTCAGATGGTTTTGGTGGGCGACAATGTTCCCCCGAGGTTCCATCGCATCTCAGCTGCCCGAGTTTACGGGTGAAGTGGTACAACTTTCGAATGGCTATGAATATGTCGATTCCTTCGCTTCATTCATCGGGCTAGGATCCTTCGGTGTCGTCTTCAAAGGTTACAGCGCTAAACACCAAACTGATGTAAGACCTCTTGCTTGTCATATGTAAACTTAGGATAAACTCCCGTAATTCCAGGTTGCCATCAAGAAAATGTCCAAACAAAATGTTAAGGACAACGAACTTAGGGTCATTAGGTAAGTCATTCATCAACCTTTTTTCGAATCCTGGCGATTACTCACATGATTTATTTAGATCGTTAAACAATGCTTACTTAGTTGGTGTATTGGATATTTGTGAGTTAGATGAAGTTACTTGCTGCCTTATTATGGAACTATGCGATGGCGATCTAGAGAATCACATCAGGCATCATTCCAATGATGGACGATTAAACAGTGCCAATCTCAGGTTGTTTATTGGTGACATATCATTTCTACACATTACATTGATGTTGTAATTTTTAGAGTGCTAATCGATAACATTGCGCGTGGCTACAAAGGATTGTTTGACTTGAAGATCGTCCATCGTGACATTAAACCGCAAAATATTTTGATAAAATATGTATCAAAGAGCAAACAGCTGTCAGCAGCAAAGATTACGGACTTTGGTTAGTTTGCTACTTTTTTCCGCTCAGAATTGCACCTCTGTATGTATTATTTTCAAGGTATTGCACGAACTCTGGACAGTGATGGGGCCGACCTATGTAACGTTGCTGGCACACTATTCTACATGGCTCCCGAAGTAGGTGCTAATCTGCTGAAGACTTGTCAGTATGACTCTAAAGTCGACATGTGGAGCATCGGATGCCTACTGTATCAGTGCGTTACTGGGGAGGTAAGCCTTTCAAGTTTCTCACATGTTATGCTTTTGAATTTGAAAATGTCTAAATGTATGAACCTATATACTAATGAGAAAGCTTTCCAAGATCCGCGACAGGGCAGGCTCACATAAATTGTTTTGGCAGTTCTCTGCAAGGGTCAGCTTCTGAGAGCCTTTTCCTAGTCGGTCGTCTGATAGCATTAAACAGCGATCGGATAGCATTAAATACGTATCAGTCGTCCTATCCGATCGTTACGGTCAGAGAGCGCTCTAAGGTTTTGGTAAGGTTCATCAAGAGTTCAGAGTTGTCGAAAAGCAATTTGCTATGTTACCATTCGCTCCAACGGTTTTGCAGCAAGAAGAGTGATGATGTTGAAAGGAGGGAAAGAGGAGGGGGACGAAACGCATATTCTAGAAATCTCACGACATCTTGGCTCTTATATTAATTTTGAGATGCACGATTGCTGCCCGTTAGTGAGCCAGCGCCAATCAAGAAAGCTACTCTTAAGAACAACAAAGTATCCATTGTGGTCTTTCAAATGCCTTTTAAGACTTTATTCTGAAAACTACAATTGTACTTTTTAATGTTCCGTTTTAGTAATGCTCAAATTCATGAAATGTATGAATGATGTCATAGAATTGATGCGATGAGTTTCCTGAGCCTTAAAGGAATCTTGCGCGGAAAAATCATGATTCTATTTCAGCCATAAATCACTGGCTTGAGACTCATTATCCACGATAATAGTGAAAAGAACTGAAGTATTGCTTTCGTTTTGATTAGAAATTCGAAAACTCGAAAAGGCTGCTACGCGTTCGAATTGCCCACGGACGTCTTTCACGAATGCTGGCGACGGGGATGCTCAAACTTGGTTCTTGGAGTGCATTCACTAGAAGCTCTTTCTGGCCTTCCTGCTTCGTTGCATTCACATCTTACACTTCTACTCCATCCTATTCCATCGATCGATTTGTCTCCACTCTCCGAAATCGCGCGCTTTAACCCGATTCTCTCATTGCGTCGCCTGGTACGTAGCCGGCCAAACGCCGTCTTCTTTCCATGCCTCGCCTGGCTCTGCCTCCTGGTCCTTCGATGGTCCATAACGTGTAGTTTTTGTACGTTTGTTTCTCTTCAGAAACCGAATCTTCATGCGTGAAACTTTGTGTGCTATTTCCAGTGATCACAACTGACATATTCATGTTAGGAAAGAGTGCAAGAATTTTCCGCGCAAGATTCCTTTAACAAATATGGGTTATTTAACTCTTACTCGTTGTGCTCTCGACGAAGGCGATGCGGCCGAAAACGTTAGCCGAGTAAAACGTTCATAATATCTTGGTTGCGGCTCAAGAAACCTCGCTGAAAGTGAACTCTCGCAATGCCAAGATTGACCGAGAGTCGAATATGGACGCTCTTATCTGATGTCATAGACATCAAGTAGTCGTCCATATTCGACTCTCGAGTCAGATCTTGCATTTTTAGACGTCTCCAAATCGCTGGAATGAGATGTTAGAGAGTGATAACGATTCGCGGACATTAATGCGATCTTACTCAGTCTCTCTCTAAGGTCTCATCCTTATTATTTTTTGTACGTGATTTTTGAACTTAAAGAAAGGGAGCCCCGGATTGGAAGTGTCGATGTGCACACTGCTGCCATCTTTTTCTTCGGAGCTACACTGTTCTTGTCTCCTACAAGGAGTATGAATCGAATTAACTATGTTTTTTCTTCTTATTGTTTACCAACTTTAACTTTGTACGTGCTCATTGCTTTTTACCTGTGGGAGGTATCGCAGCTGAAGAGGTTTTTTGTTGAGCTGGATGAAATAGAAGTTACTCATATCTTGCCAATCTCTTATTGTTCCTTTGCTCTACAGGAAAAAATAGTCTGGAAAGACGTTTCTGTTGACATCTTCCGGTGCAATTGCCGTGGCAAAAGGCATATTTCCATAGTGAAACAAAAAAAGAAGGCTGATACAATGCAGATTTGCCGAGCCGCCGACGTCCTTGTTAGGAAATAACCATGCCGAATGAGCTCCCTATAAGCGCGGAGAGAATGCTTTTTTTGCTAGGGTGTTTTTATCTTGGTATTATTGTCCCTATCTGATGATTTACCTTTATACACAGTGTTTCTGTTTTTGTGAAACATGTGCTTGCAGATTCCATTCGATGAGTGTTTCCTGTGCAAACTATTTTTGTATACTGCTGGTGCCAACTATGATGCCTATGACCCGCCTGAGCTACCAGAGACAACAAACGAGGAAATAGGCGACATGATTCATTCGTTACTAGAAATCGACTCGTCCAGAAGATGCACGCCTGTGCAGTTCTATGATAAAGCAACAAGGTTTAGCCAGAAAGTTTCTTAGCGAATAGTTCGCTTCTAACTGAGGTGTTATTTTGGAATCAGAGTGACTAGTCTGACAATTGTAAATTAGCGATCTCAGGATCGGGTCATACTTTCGCAGTACGAGTGTGGAGTAGGTACGTATCGACCATTTGCACGATCGCAAGTGTGATCGATACGTATCTGCTCCACGAAAAGCGCAAGATCGCAACTATGACTCGACCTTTAGTTCTAGAGCAAAAAATGAGCGTCTTGTAGGCAAATGTGCTTCTTTTGAATTATCCTGGGGTTACTATCGGCTGACACTTTTTGAAGAAATCAAATGTGCCAAATAGGGGTATTGTAGGACCACAGCTCGCATAATATCTTGTGTGCTTTACTCATAGCTGATTCCGGAATAGGACCTCTGATCTCTTTACATCATATCAGTAGAGGACAATCATTCATATGTAGATTGATAGCGCGATAGTTTCATCGTCTGATTGTTGTTATTATTGATTGATCCAATAGGCTCAGAGAATTTATGTGCTAAATATTATCATAGTTTAGAAAGTTTGTAGTAATAGGCTCGATCTGTTGTTGTAGGGAGCAGCATTACTTCGTGTTGTGATTATCGATTTTGGGAGCCGTATCATCGAATTAAATATAGTTTCAACCTCGGGTATATCGTACAATTTATGTAGCTATGCAGATTAACTACGCAATAAATACATTCGAGAAAATTTGCTCAATTGTCGATTATGTTGTTTGTGAGATGGTCAAAATCTGTCGACGTACCCTATCGCTTATTGCAAACTGTACTTCAATAATCTCTTTGAGCTTTGCCCATTGATATAGGCGCTATCGCAAGAAACGGGGGCATTGCATTTAAGGTTTAGGAGGAATCGCAACTCATGATCCTTGCGGCCCATGGGGAGATGATCACATCGCTCCGTCGTTTTGAGAGGGCGGCCTTTCTGAAGCTCTTTCAAAGAAATCCAATGGCTCCCCTCCCTCCGTGATCCCTATGAAATGGATTGCAGTTAGAATTTCAATGTTTGTTTTGTAGTAATTACTACGTTTAGCTCTCGGAAAGAAACCTTTTCTCGCTCCTGAAGAGGGGGGTGG